GAATTTAACACGGAATTCAATTATATTAAAATTATAGCTGTAAGTACATCCGTTCTTGAACTACATCGAAAAAACTGAACCAAGGTGTTGTGGCTTGTTTTCCTCGTTTGGACGGTCAAGACTAGTTCGACGAGCGCCGCGTGAGGGCGCCACCATTTCGCCACGCACGCTGCTCTGATTTTGTATTACTCCGCGCGCATGCGCTCTTCAGTAACGCGCTTGTGGTGGTCCAGACTCCAGAGGCGGCAAGACCCGTCCAGACCAGTGTTGCCAGGTCTACTGATTTATCAGTAGATCTACTGATTTCGTTCCGCGTCTACTGATTCACTGAAAAACAAGAAAATGTACTGACTTTTTTTTTAGTAAACATATTAAAAATTTATTATATGGCCCCTTCAGTTCCCAGTGCAGCCCATCAAAGGAAACTCATAATGTCCCAGAATTAAGAACGAAGCACTGGCAAGATGGCCCAGAAGCCCGTCCTATTCGAGTGACGTAGTCGTATATTCATCTATCTATTCACCCAGAGCAGGTTCGGCAGGTTCGATGGTGACATCCGGGCCAGAGCCATATATGGAGAGAGTTTGGCTAGTCTATGATCTCGCCGTAACGTCCCTCTCCCGAGTGAGCCGATCAGCCCGCGGCGCAGAGCGAGAGGTGTTTGCGCATGCGCCTGAACTCTCGGCTGCTCCTATACAATCTACTAGAATAGCTTCAAGTTGAGCGGAGAGAGCCGCAATTTTCATTCATTCGTTCGGCGGAATGCATGGGATCGACATCCAAATTTCAGTTATTTTTTTTTATTTGGCAGGCTGTGGCAAGAAAATGATATAATCCTATTCCTCGGTGGCTTAAAAAGCTAACGAATGAAGTTTCGCCACGTTTGAACGCAAACTTTGGGTCAGGCGAAAAAGAAATAAGCCCGTAGCAGACAACGCGTCAAGGAGGTTAGAAGTACTAGGAGGGGGCACGTTGCAATATTGGTGAAGCCTAGTCATAAAAAGTTTAAACGATTCTGTGCCCAGCGTGACCGCAGATCTCTCTGGCGATTGGTGCGCGTGACATGTCACGTGTGAGATGGATGGTTCATTGTAGAAGGACTCCTTGCAGGCTTGCGCGCGCTCCGTCCGGTAGGTTTTATCAGATCGAAGGCTAGACTGTGGTGTATTCTAGTGGCCCATAGTAAGACGAAGGCTAGCTATGGTCACGTGATGTGGTCACGTTGGCATGGTGAGTGAGGAGAGTAAGGAGGGAAATGAGAAAGAGGCCAGGCGTCAAGCGAGCATGGCTTGTGGAGGCTACGCGGCCGACGTCATGCCCTCTCCTACCCTTCTATTCTCCATGCAACGCGTAGCCTCAACAGTGCTCCGGACCAACAGCGTTGCTTCAAAAACCTTCCACAGCCCAGTGAGGAAAGATGGCAGCATGCAGAGGACTTCCATTGGACATGTTCGCGCGCACTTGCCGGAGCGTCTTGTTTCGGTTTTGTTTCAATAATAGCGACAGGTGAACGTCGCACTGTCGCCTTCATCTGTGATCCCAAAAGTGCCTCAGTCTCGATTCTAAAGAATAATCCTCGAAACAGTCAATAATGACTAAAACAAAAACATTTATGGTGTCATTTTAATTTGTCCTTCATATAAAGTTACTTGAGAACTGGTCTTGTTTTTTTCTTTCATTTTTATTTGTGTTTATTACCATGTTATTTGTTACTCTATACTATTTCTTTGAAGTGTGTATTAATGGAGATAGCAAAACATGGCAAAACACATATTTCGTGGAATCTACTGATTTTTGTGCAAATCTACTGACTTTGTGGGATATCTGCGGAATTTAACACGGAATTCAATTATATTAAAATTATAGCTGTAAGTACATCCGTTCTTTAACTACATCGAAAAACTGCACAATCATTAGAATCCTGTACGCTCCCGAACGACTGGAAGGTGGGAAAGGTGGTTCCTCTGCACAAATCAGGTAACACTCATTGTCCCAATAATTATAGACCCATTTCATTAACCAGTATACCGTGCAAACTCATGGAACATGTCATATACTGTCATATGGTGTCCTTCCTCGAAACTAATTCTTTTTTTAGTATGCATCAACACGGCTTCAGAAAAAATTACTCATGTGAAACTCAACTACTCGCCTTTACTAACGACTTATTTTTTTATTTCAAAATACTGCCAATCCCCGAAGGGATTATTGCAGGCATTGGTACACAATAAAAAGATACATATGTGAGGCACTTAACAACGAATGAACAACACTTCTCGTCATTCAAAGCATCCAATAATTACGAAAAAAGTTCATCTTCGACTGCATTGATAAATGATTCAACAGTGCCGTGACTGAACACGTGTGGGTCAAGGCTATTCCAGATTCTAATGGCAGAGGGAAAAAATGAGTGTTTAAAAGTGTTATTATGAAACGAATAGTCAACAAGTGTATGGCTGTGCTTGTGTCTAGTCGGTCTTGTGTTAGACAATTGTACGTACTTGGATGAGTCAATCTTAAAGGCGCCTTGTAAAAGAAGGTAGAGAAATTTTAGACGATTTAATGTTGCGCGGTCAGTAATGGTCTGTAAACCTGCTCTTTTCAGAAGCTCTGTAGGGGAGTCAAAACGACCATACTTATGATAAACAAACCTAATTGCCTTTCTCTGAAGGCTTTCAAGTGTGTTTATGTTTATATTCGTGTGAGGGAACCAAGCAATATTTGCGTATTCAAGCACTGGACGTATAAGGGTTTTATATGCTAGGAGTTTTGTTTCACAAGACGAACCTTTTAAGGTTCTCTTCAGAAGGAATAATTTCGTGAGAGCTTTATTAAATACATATTTAACGTGTGCGTTCCAGCTAAGATCAGATGTTATTAAGACTCCTAGGTACTTATACTCGGTGACTCTATGCAAGGGTTCATCTTTAAGGCTATATTGAAACTGGGAGACATTCTTTTTCTTTCTCGTGAAACTCATGGAGACTGTTTTTTCTTTGTTAATCACCATTTGCCAGTCATCGCACCAGTCGGAAATCTTTTTAAGAGATTTGTTTAGTAGGATGTGATCGTCTTGGTTCTTAATTTCTTGATATATGATACAATCGTCAGCGAATAATCTTATGTTAACATCAATGCCATCGGCTATGTCATTTATGAAAAGTAGAAATAAAAATGGAGCTAAAACGGAACCTTGTGGGACGCCGGATACTACTGCAACTGGTCGCGTACTTTGTCCCTCGTGATAAACAAATTGGAAACGATTTTTTAAGTAGTCTTCAATCCATGCAATTATCGGTCCTTCGCCCATAACATGTTTAAGTTTTATTATCAGTTTGTTGTGGGAAACGCGATCAAACGCTTTCGAGAGATCCAAGAACACTGCATCTACCTGACTTCTGTTGTTTATGCCCATCGTGAAATCGTGAAGAATCTCAATTAGCTGTGTAACGGTCGATAGTCCACTTCTAAAACCATGCTGATGTGGGAATAAGATATTGTTATTTTCTACAAATGATGTCATGACTTTGAGAATAATATGCTCGAGAAGTTTGCAGCAGGTGCAAGTAAGTGATATGGGCCTAAAATTTGAGGCTAGAGTTTTATCGCCAGATTTATGTATAGGGATTACTTTCGCAACTTTCCATTCGGCGGGTACCGAAGAAAGGAAGAGAGACTTGTTAAAAATTAACACTAAATACTTGCTAACCCATTCGGCGTATCTTTTAAGAAACATATTCGGAATTTCGTCAGGACCGTTACCTTTTTTGGTGTCTAAATTGAGTAAAAGTGCAAATATGCCTGGTTCCGTAACTATTAGGCTTCCAAGTTCTTCAGCAGTGTTGCATTGTGGTAAAGTTAAACCGTCATTACCATCATCAGCTGTAAATACCGACTTAAAGTAATTGTTAAATTCATCTGCCATTTTTTGTTTCTCTATGGAGCTCATACAATTCATTTGAGACTTTTTAGGGTTAACGTGGTTCCAAAATTTCCGAGGTGACGCTTTCATGAACTCGTGGAGGGTCACGTTATAGTACTTATGTTTGGCTTCTTTAATTTTTAATTTAAGAAGTTTAGAGTGCTCTGAAATCTTTGCTTTGTAGTCGGTGTTATCCTGGAGGGAGTGTATTTTTGATGACTTCCTTAGCCGCTTGAGTTTGCGTTTCAGGTGGATAATTTCTCGCGTGATCCATGGGTTGTGCTTTCTTGTTATTTTTTGTTTTTTTGGGATGAACTGTGTAACACAGTGCGTGATAATTGATTTAAACTCGTTCCATATGTCGTCAATACTGACATCTATCTCGTCACAAAGTTCACGGAAATCATAAAATCTATGAGCAAGGTACGTTAATATACACGCGTCATCGGCACTGTTGAAATCAAGTACAGTTTTAATGGTACCATATGAGAACCTAGATGTTCGTATAGGTATGGTGCATATAACTGCTTTATGGTCGGATATGCCCGTTACTACTTCAACATCGACTTGGCTCTGGGGGAAGTGGTCACTAAGAAATACAAGGTCAAGCAGACTGCTGGACGTTCCCTGCACCCGTGTTGGCTCTCTGACGATTTGTGACAGATTAAACGCAAATAAAATGTCTAATATTGCATCAGAGGTAACAGTGCCAAGTTGCAGCGAATCCCAGTTTACCTCAGGTATATTAAAATCGCCAGCCATAATAATCCTTTGATTTTTAATGTGTTGTTGCATGTAATCATATAAGTTGTACAGACACTTGTGTTCGGAGTTTGGAGGCCGATAAACGACACCTACAACAACAGAATAATAATCGAATGACACTTTGCACCATAAAGATTCAACATCTTTCACATCAGGCATATGTCCGTAGGGGATACCTCGTTTTAGAAGTATTGCTACTCCGGCACCTCTAGTCGTTCTGTCTTTTCTCAGAATGATGTAATTTGGTGGGACAATTTCGCTATCAAGTATTAAGGGATGTAACCACGTTTCTGTGATTGTAACTATGTGTGGATTAAATTCTAAGAGAAAGGACTCCAATGAATATGCTTTATTTTGAAGACTCCTTGCATTTATATTTACGACTCTAAGGTTAGATGGCAGAATGTGGCTTTCGGTTAGTTTTCGTCGGGAACATCGTTTTTTTCTACGGGAATTATGTCTTCTTTTGTCTCATCCCACGCATAGAGATGCCCATTTATGCGAACCTTATCATATGTTAAGAAAACCTTTTCTCGCTTATCTCGGTTTGCTTTAGTGCGGTCCCAAAGCTTCTTACGTATTTGCTGTACGTGTCGGGAGAAATCTTCACCGATTGAAAAATCTGTTCCTTTCAGTTTGACGCAGTTTTTCAGTATCTTTGATTTATCTCTACTGTCCAGTAGTTTGAGTATGACTGGACGGATCTTGTTATCAGCCTGTTTCCCGAGGCGGTGAATTGTTTCGATGCCTGCTATTTGTACGTTTAGAATTCTCTCGAGAATTTCACCTACGACCACTCTTTCGAGTGTCTGACTGTTTTCGTTCTCTTGTTCTTTAATTCCGTAGACAATCAGATTCGACCGTCTACTTCGATTTTCTAAGTCGTCTACCTTTCTGGTAATAATTTTAACAGTCGTTTCAAGTTCAGTTATTCTCTCCCGACATGCACTGACGTTCTTTTGAAGCGTACTGAGACTTTCCAGTTTGTGCTCGATCGCAGAAAGTCTGTCATTTGTTATACCCTTTTCATTTTTAATTTCCTGTATGTCCCGGGCGATTTCTTTCAGTTTTTGTAAAATAGCGCCTGTTTCTGGACCAGGGTTGACCTCAACATCGCCGCTCAGCAAAAGTAGCATTCTCAGAGAGAAAAACACATCGCACAACCACAAGTAACAGGACCGTGGGCACGGCAGCAAAATCAAGCAAACATTATTGCTACGGTAGGACTTGCAAAATCGTTTGCTTCTGCTGCTGCAGATCACTTAATCACTGTTGACTGCATTTTCATCGACTTCTCTAAAGCATTCGATAGTGTCTGTCATAGTCTGCTCCTGTATAAATTAAGTAAACTTAACATGGACCCTAATATTTTTAAATGGATAGAATGCTTCTTGTCTAATCGCACGCGATATGTAACCGCCAATGACCATAACTCCCCTCACTGTCCTGTAACGTCCGGTGTCCCGCAGGGGTCAGTGCTAGGGCCCTTGCTTTTTCTTATTTATATTAACGACTTACCTAGCTGCATTTCTTCATCTATAAAACTTTTTGCTGACGACTGTGTTGTTTATCGCAAAATTCTGGAACCTGCTGATCATCATGCTCTTCAGTCTGACCTCGATAACATTTCATTTTGGTGTGACACCTGGCTAATGAAACTTAACCCTGCTAAATGTAAGTCAATGAGAATTGCACGTCATTCAAATTACATCCTACCATGTGACTACTTACTTAACCGTGTTCGCCTAACGCAAGTTTCGTCCTTCAAATATCTTGGCATTATCATTTCTGCTAACCTTTCATGGCAAGATCACGTCAACTACATCACTAGTAATGCTAATCGCGCACTTGGGTATCTACGGCGTAATTTTTCTTTAGCCCCAACTAACTTGAAACTCATACTTTATAACACTTTAGTGAGGTCAAAGCTTGAATATGCATCATCAATCTGGGACTCTCATATTAACTCCATTATTCTTCAAATAGAAGCCATTCAAAACCGTTCCGCGCGTTTCATCTTCTCAAATTACTTTCGAACTGCCAGTGTCACTTCCATGAAATCTAATCTTAACTTACCCGATCTTTCATTGCGTCGTAAACTATCTCGTCTTTGTCTCTTTCACAAGGTTTATCATTTCAATTCTCTACTCAGTGACTCTCTCTTTCTGCCACCATCGTACATTTCTTCCCGCAGCGACCATCAGTTCAAGGTTGGCGTCCCAAGCAGCCGCACCAATTTGCACTTCCACTCGTTCATTCCCAAAACCTGCACAGACTGGAACCACCTCCCCGCCTCCATCGCTTCAATCACCGACAGCGACCGTTTCAAAAGCGCCATTTGCAACCATTTTTTGTAATCTCCCTGCTGTGTTTATGTTCATGTTGTATTATTATTATTTTTTCTTTTTGCTTCACCACTCCTCTCTGTAATGCTTCGGCCTTGAGAGTAAATAAATGAAATGAAAAAAAGGTGTTGTGGCTTGTTTTCCTCGTTTGGACGGTCAAGACTAGTTCGACGAGCGCCGCGTGAGGGCGCCACCATTTCGCCACGCACGCTGCTCTGATTTTGTATTACTCCGCGCGCATGCGCTCTTCAGTAACGCGCTTGTGGTGGTCCAGAGGCGGCAAGACCCGTCCAGACAGAGTGGTTTTGTTTCTCGGGGTGGGGTGTCAGGCGGATAGCTGTGCGTGTTTTCATAACTAGAAAGGCCGTCCTCGCAGCTATGGGTCCAAAGAGGTATAAATATGGCAAGCGAAAGGTCTCGAAGTCGCAAATAGAGTTTGCACGTAAGCGACCCTCTGCTGAAACTACGGATCGTGAGGTTGAGTCATCGTGTCGTAGTGCTGCGAGAACGAATTGACTCGGGGTGTTGAAGATGCCGCTTGGGAAGCCATGCAACAGGCCGGAGTGGAAGAAGCGAGGCGCACGAAGGAATCTGGCGAGATCGATGCCGAAGGCTATCCGCTTGTTACCGTCGTTGCAGACTGTGCGTGATCAAAGCGATCGTACAGGGACAAGAACGACGCTCCTTCTGGTACGGTAAGTACTACATTTCTTCCTCTAAAAGGGGCGCCAATTTTGATCGTAGATATAATATACATTTCTTTAGAGTGCGTTCGAAAGAAATCCGAAGCATGTTTTTCTCGCCACGAAAATACATTAGTCTCTGTCGCTAGGCTACATTTGGGCGGACGCTGAGCATTTGGCAATGCGTAGTTTATTTTTATGGTGAGATGACCGTGGTTAGAATCCCTCTCTGTTGTATGTGTATCTCTGTGAAAATGCAAGATTTGTTTCGGCAACTGGGGTGACGATTTCTCACGAAGCACTGGAAACAGTTATGCTTTTTGTGTGCCTGTTTTAGTGACCGCTGTTTTATGTACTATACATTCCGAATATACGCGGTGCCATGCAGTCAGTTCGTCAGACGACGTTTTAGACAGCTCGTTTCTTCGAAGCTGCACCTTTTCAAGGATAAATCGTTCCATCGGAAATAGCCGGCGTTTGTTTCATCGATACACCTTGTGACGTTTCGTCTAGTTTTTCTATTATGTGCGTGCTCGCGCTTGCGAACGTAATTGCGCGTCCGTGTCTGCTTGCGTGTGCGCCTGCATGAGCGAGGATGCTTATGTGCGTGCCCCCCGTGCACATGCGTGTTTTCATGCCTACGCGTGAGTATATATACCCGCGTATCTGTGTGCGTGTTATACGTGCATCTGCGTGCGTGTTTGCACGCGTGGGTGTTTGCCTGCTCATAAGTGCGCGTGCCTGTGCGAGTGTGCGCGTGCACGTGCGTGTGTAATTCGTGCGTACGTGTGCGCGGGTGTGCTTGTGCGTGTGTACGTGAATTTGCATCCGTGCCTGCGCGTGCATCCGCGTATCTGTGTTCGCGCATGCGTATGAGTGCCTAATTCGTGCGTGTTTGAGTGGGCGCATGCATACTTGGGCGTACGTGTGCCCAAGTACGCACGTTGTCGGACTTTGCGGGAAAGGTTCGAGAAGCTCGAACCTGGTCGAACTCGTACGTCGGCTGGTTCGCGACACCCTTAGTACTCACGTTGCGGACGGTTGGTGATTGGCCGCTGATAACTTCACCGTAACTTTTTGCTTTATGTTTAGCGCCATTTTTTATATTTCTATTCGTGCTATTGTAATCTTTTGCGATTAAACTCTCTGTACCCTTTCCTTGTGACCTATGAAACGATCTCGAACGCCTCGAACAACAGCGACGCTTGCGTTCGTTCTCGGGGCTAGTAGGCAAGGAGGTTACAAGTATTTATATGACGTCAGACTGCCTTTTGATGCCGAGTCACAACACAGAAGTATGGCCACCGAAGGCAAAAGCAGTTATCCCATTGGCGAGTTTGCTTTGTCTTTCAATTTTCACAACTCTCCCGAATCAGTTTTGCTTTATCGTTTGGTGGTCATGTTTGTGGGCGATGACTCAGCACGTGACTAGACCCTATAACCGTTCATGGTGTTTTTCTCTGTTTTTATTTTTTAGATTGAACGATTCTGCTGCAGTGTGGAACGAACTAAAGCCCCTCGATGTGTTTGCGCTTGTTATGCAAGTAGCGTCAAATGCGCGAGTGCACGTGGCCCATGTCTCGAGCGGCCCTTGGAAGCAAATGGCGGCGCAGCACTGAAATGAGCGGGCCTTGGAAGCGAATGGCGGCGGAGCACCCGCTCATGGCACGTGTCTCGCGCGCTTCCACAACAATGGTTGGCGGTACTTGTAAAAAACGCTTTTATCAAGGGGCTTTAGAACGAACTAGAGCACTATATAGCTCCTACGGAGCAGAGTAGCGCAATCCTTTGAACCTCGTGTTTTGCCGACAAGATGGCCGACAGAGCGGCTCGGCGCGAGTCACGTGGTACTCAGGGTTCCAAGAGGCGGTCCGCCCTATGGGAGAATACATGGAGATCGATACAACACGGCTGATTAAAAAATGAACGGCGAGTTCACACTTTTCAAAACTAGTCTGTCGTGAAGTTAGTAAAGCACTAAACACTTTATCAAAATTTTAATAATATCGGATGCGTGTGCAAATTTTGAGAAGGCAATTTCCAAGGCAATGGCGTTTGAAGCAGACGATTTTTGCTCGCAGCGGAGATGGGCTTTTCGGGTTGGCCGGAGCGGGTCACGTGAATGGTGTGACGTCGCCGTGTCGTCTGCTGCATGATGCCGCTCAGGCAATTTTTTAAAAAAAGTTACGTCCTTGTATGGGACAAAACTTATCGCATATTATTCTAAAATGTTTCATTATTATGTCAAAAATGATTTCCATTCCGCACATCCCCACAAAACTGAAGAAACAACGATTTTCTCACGTTCTCCATGCATTTCTGACCGCAGTTGGAACCTCCGGGCGTTCGCCGCTAGTCGCCGAGAGACGGCGTTCTAGATTGCGCTACTCTGCTCCGAAGGAGCTATATAGTGCTCTAGAACGAACTACACGAAAGTGCTCAACCTTCTACGAAGTCTTCCGAGGAGCAGAACGTGTGGGGATCAGGACTATTGGAAGATATGTTCTCAAGTCATGAAAAACTGCCCGGTCGCCAATCCTTACAAATTGTCTATGAAATACTATAAGAAACAATCAGTGTCGTGAAAAATTGTATAAAAATACTTTGTTGTGCAGTGCTGGTGGCTAGTTGTGATGAAGTAACGAAGGTATATGCCGGTAGTTTGTCATATATGTATTCGATTATGTATTTATTTTTAAAGTACCTAATATACAGTGTTGTTTTTACTTAACTGGAACGTGTTTTTTTTTTAAAAGAGGGGGAGACCCGTCCGCGCGCGTGGAAGACCTGCAGGTGTCTGCGCCCGCGTTTACCCGGCAGGCTTTTGCGGGTTGATTTTGCGGGGAGCAGGCGTTTTTTCTTTTTCTTTTTTGTCTCGCCACCGTGAATAGGGTGCCTTCGTACACATTCGCTTGTGCGGAGTGGCGACATCTCGGCGATTTCACTGTCCGACCTTTTTTTTTTATTTATTTATTTTATTTTTTTGTTTATGCAGAGCATACGTGCTTTGGCATCTCTCGGTGCGAGCCCGCAATTTTGGCTATAGACGCTTTACAGCAGCTGTGCATGGGCGCCGCCATAACTGACCTTCAGTTTTTGTTCCCTCTTATTCCGTTCGCTTCACTTCATCATTACCACAGCAGGACAGGTTATTGCCATTTTAGATGCTACTGTGTTCTTGAGCCCAGCATAGGCCCTTGTGAAGACCCGTCAACGCCCGCTT